GCGTCCTAAAGCACCAGTGAACCTGAACTCAATCTTGTTTCTGCAGAATTTCTCTCACTCAAAACTGTGGGGCTTGAGGTTTTTTGTTTTTGTTTTGTGGTACTGGAGTTTGAACCTGGGACCTTTGCACTGAACTATGCCTCACCCCTTTTTTTAATCTTTTCCTTTTGAGATAGGGTCTCATGAAATCCCTTAGTTGCCCATATTGGGATGGAGCTCAGTGTGAAGGCCTTTTTATTCCCGTGTCTTCCAAAACAAAAGATAAAGGCAGAGCAAGAAAAACATTTCAAAAAAGAATTTCAGTGCCCTTTATTTCTTTTTTATTATAAACAGTATAAAAAATAATAAAATAACAACAACATAGACAAAAACAAAACAAAGCAAAAATAATAAAAGTGATACAGGATTTCAAAACAAAATGACAAGAATTAACAGTAGTTGTTATATTACCTATTGTTATCTTCAATGAAGTTGCTCAGATCACCACATATAGAATGCAAGATTGATCAAACCATTAAGAAGAACTTTAAAAAATTTAAAAAATATTAGAAACAGTACAGAGCTTCACCAAACAAGATGGTAGGAATTCACCCATGGTTCTTATACTGCATAATGTTGTCCTCTGAGAAATTAGACTTGCTCTGATCTTGGGTTCTATTCTCCTCTGATCTACACAGAGGGCAAAAGCAAGCAAGAGAGTAAAATAAGGATCAAATGGTAAATAACCTGGGAAATACTGTCAATTACTATAACAAAAAAGCACACCAATGAACCAGCTTTAGAGTCTATCAATACTGTACTTCATCTTTTTTAATGTGAAAAAGATGGGAACAAAAATCTTTCTTAGTAGGAATTAAATACACTTAAAAGAATTTGGGGTGTGTGATGGGAGTAAAGAACCGTTCATTAAATTACAAAGAGTGTAAAGCCGAAGGATACTAAGTTTCTTGTAATTGCTGATAGTTGTAGAAGTAAAGGCCCTTTAACTGACCAGTTGGCCCTTTTGTTTTCTGATAGTGGAGGTAAAGAAACACACCTGAAAGTAGAGGAGGTGTCTTCCAACAGATTAGAAGTTTAATGGATGATCACTGAAATTAAATGTTTCAGGACCTTTTTATGCCTAATAGGTGCTCAATAAAATGCCTACTCAATAAACAGTTAATCTCTCAAAAACTGTCTCTTTGATAATGAGACCTAGAGATTAACAAAAGAAAAGAGTTTCTCCTTCAAATATGGGATTTCCAATATTATCCAAATAAACTCTCTTATATAAAATTACATAGCCTGAGAAACTGGAAGGGAGAAGAAAGGTGAGAATGCTGTAATCCACCAGGTGATCTGCATGTGGACTAATGAGGCTTTCTCACCTAGAGTCCCATGAACAGCTCCCTAAAGGGCTTCTCTCTCCTGCTGTGCCTTTCAAACCACCCCCCAGAGTCTCCAAGCTGAATTTGCAAAATGGAATTATCTGATTTCCTCACATTTTGTTTCAAATTCTTCAGTAAACCCTAAAAAGCAAAGTCTAAATATCTTAATAGGGTATATAAAGCTCCCTCTGATCTGGGTCTTACTGCCCTTCCCAAATTTTGTTGTTTGGTTTTTTGGTTTGGCTTTGTTTGTGGAGGTTTTTATTTTGGTTCTCTCTATTTTCTATTTGTTTCCGGTGGGACAAGAGGGCAGGCTTTTACTTTTTCAATCAAGGTTCAGCAGCACAGAGCTGTTTCAGGAAGACAACTCTTCACCTTGCGACACCAAGTTAACTGGTGCTTATGAGACCTCTTCCCTTCCTCCTCTGCCTCTAACACTACATTCTGGCTCTGGCACCTCCTCTAGCATGCCTAAGGCATGACTCTTTTCCGAGTGATCCTCCCTTTCTGACTCATAACTTATCCAACTATTTTAACCCTGTATTTCCAAGTTACTTGATCATTATTTGGCCCCCTTACTAATCCTCATCACCTTTGTGTCTTATTTATTTCCATGTCCCTTATCAGATGGTAAGTGCTCAAGGTTTTGAATGAACCAATGAATCAATGCAAATGGCTACACATGGGGGAAAAGTGCAGCAGACAATTAAAAGTCATGAGCCTAAAGCAGCCCTTTCTACTCATCCCCAGAAGACACTCATGGGAAATTTATGAATGGAAAGAAAGGGGCATTTTTGCCCAGAGGGACATTTACCTCGGAACTTTGCAAGAGAGCAGAGTAAAATGGACAAATTAGCATTTCTCCCTAAACTATCCATCAAGAAAACAACCCCAACAGATAATACAAGTTCTCAACCCTACCACTCCTCCAGCCAAATTCTTAAAGGCAGAAGACAGCAAATCCACCCCTGAGATTCTACAAGTTCAGATCTTTAATGTTTAAGGTTTTATCTTTTTAATTCATGTAAGCTTATCACTTTCTATAAACAAAGATTTTTTATAAATCATTTAACCAGTTAAATGACCTAATTCCCTAGTTCACATAGACACATCTCCAAAAGCAAAATCCACCTTCATATGCCCCGTGTTTATACTGTCTCTTCCCTTCATTTTCTAACACCCCTAGAGATGTTTTCTTAAGAAGTGTAGGATATATTATGATTCCTGTACACAAATTATATTCCTAAAATTCATAATTCTTGCCTTGTTCTCAATATTAAAATAACATGATTTCACACTTGCATAACCAATGGAAGTAGACGTAGTTCATACCTCCACCATGCTCATTTCCTGGAGAGCTTCCAATGCATCCAATTACAAATGCTCCACCACTTAACGATGGGGTTCTATCCCAATAAACTCATCTTAAATTATAACTACGGTAAGTCAAAAGTGCATTTAACACCCTTGTGTTAGTCTGCTTTCTGTTGCTGGGAACAAATAGTGTACACGACATCTACAGCTTAAAGGAAGAAATGGTTTTCTGGCTCACATTTCTTGGCTGGATCCAAGGCAGAAACAGTTTGGTGGAGTGGCATGGCAGAGGAAAATGTACTCACCTTAGGGCAGCAGGCAACAGGGAGGAAGGAAGGGGCTCAGCACAAAAGAGCCCCCTTCCAGGTCACAACCCCAATGACTCAATTCTTCCAATCAGGCCCCACATCACAACAGCATATTCAGCTAAGAGCTCATCAATAATCCACCAATGAGTGCTAGGTCCCTATGATCCAATAACCTTCCAAAAGCCCCACTTCAAAATACATGAGACTTTGAGGGATCACTTTAGATCTAAGCCATAACAACCCCTAACCTACCAAACATCATAGTTCAGGCACACAGTTCACTAAAGAGTATCAGAAGAAAATATTATACCAAATATCACTAGCCTAAGATCAGAATCCAAAACTCAAAGGATGGTTTCTGCTCAGTGCAATTGATTTTGCACCATCATAAAACTGAAAAATTGTGAGTTGGGTAATCATAAGTCAGAGACTAACTGAACTTCCACAGTCTCAAAAGAAGGAAAAGGGACCTCCTGGTCATTTTCTCTTGGACTCTCTCCATCAGATATCCATACGTATATAAGTAAAAACACCTTTAATACAGCCTACCATGGAGTAGGAAAAAGAACCTGTTGTATTAGTCATTGCTGGACAAAATACCAAACACCCAAAACTTAAAGGTTTAATTTGGCTCATATTTTAAGGGGATTCAGCTCATGGTCAGCTAGTTCTAAGGCAGAAACATGGTTGGAAGGGCACAAGAGAGCAAAGCTGCATGGTCATGATGGCTGGGAAGTAGACAAGGGAAATGGTGTCAGAGAGGAAGAGGCAAGCACCCAGACATAGCAACCAACGTCATGCTTCCAGGACCTACCCAGACACACCCAGAAGTAAGCTCCACCATCCCCCAGGCAGATACTAAGCCAATCAAATTGACACAATCAAGCTTAAATGTCACAGCTGTGACCTTAGTGCCTACCAATAAAAGACTGAAAATAAATGACAGCATAACTAGACAACGGCACATCATGGGGATTATGTAGTTGTCAAATAATCAAATGTAACAATGTAGATCATTGTTACATGCTCATGCAATGCAAAAGCTCCTAGATATGTGATTATGCAATTATAAGAGGCCAAAGGATGAAATAGGTATAGTATAATTCCTACCAAATAGAAAAGAGGAGAGTAGGAAATGTGAAGGTATAGATTTATATATGTATAGGTCTCTGTAAATATATACCAGTGTTTCCCCCAGAGAAAGCTAGGGGCTAGAACAGAGATTCATTTTTTTATCGGATATATTCTTACATTGCTTTAATTTTTCACTCTATATATTAAAAGTTCAAAACATACATAATGTGAGGCTGTAGATATACCTCAGTGGTAGTGTTGCCTAGCATGCATATGATCCCCAGCACTGCAAATAATAATAATTCATCATGTGTATGTATGTTTACAAAACAAAAGCTATCCGGAGGAAGTACAGTCAAAAAAAAAAAAGAGGAAGGGTGAAGCCTGGCTCACTGGACCCACCCAGCTTCCAGCTTCCTGTGCCATAACCCAGCAGACCCACGTTCCTGTGATTTCCCAATCTATCACTGTGCTCTCTTTATAGATGAGAACTTCAAAGATTGAGATGATACAGTAAAGAGTCCCTATATCAAAAATGTGTGTCTTTTTTTCAGCATTCATGAGAGCCTTATCTTCATGAATTGTACTTTTATCTGAGGCATATTTCACAGCTTTCATTCCCTTGTTTTTAAGATGCTGTTTCTACCTACAGTCTCCATGTTCTCAGCAATGGTGTAATCTGCAAAGACTGAGGTTTGTGGGGACTTTTCTTCCACAGTAAGTACCAAATTGCCTGTGTGTTCTTGACAATAAACTCTAGAGAAAGCACCATTTCACGCTTGGCCCCGCTGCCCAGTTATTCAGCAAGGAGATCTTCTGATGACATCATGCTCATCATTAGTACCACAACAGCTTGGAAAGCATTTTGTAGTATTTAGAGCTCCTTAAATGAAATTAAACCAGTGTTTGAGCAAATCCATACCAAGAAGCCAAGAGGAATAATTAAAGGAGTGAATGTTTTATTCTTTAGTGTTTAATAGAATACATAACAAGTCACATAATCAATGATTCATTACTTCACACACAGACAAGAAACAGTATCGAGTATTTGTTATACAACTTGTTGTGAACAGGGATAACAAAAATCTCTGGAGTATTTAAGTGACTGAAGAAATTCTCAAAATTTGGGCATCTCTGAAAAGCCTTCATCAGTGTCTTTTTTTTAAAAAAAGAGAGGGATGTTTTTTCTTTCTTGGCCTTCTATTAGAAAAGTCAGATTCTAATTTTTTTCCTCTCCCCTTTTGAGAAAATGGTTCCATGATATGTATCACTTAATGTATAATATTTTCAACAAATTCAGAATCCCAGAGGGTGCTGTGGGAATCTTATCCTATTTAGAAAATGAGTTTTTCAGATGCCTGGAAAAATTTAAACAACATATAAATTACATTTTTAAAATTCAATCCATGAAGAATGTTTTAACCTTTTATCATTAACAGGTTACTAGTGGTGTTTGAGTGGTCTAGTGAATTTTTATCATTTGTATTCAATACTATTAGCAAAATTCACCTACCTATAAATTCACAAAGACATCTGTATAATCGTTTACATTATAATTAATGTCCACATACCTTAAAACACATTTAGAATTTAAAAACTAGCTTGGAAAAAATTACAAAATGCAGAAGTAATAAGAATTCTTGGTCAACTAGTTCATCTTCCTTCCACACAAAACTACACCATACTAGAGATATTCTGGTTAAATTTCTTCCATCTAAATCCTCAAGTATTAGCAGAGAATCTAAACCCTCAAGTATTAATATTTTTAGATTCTTATTGTCCAAAACTCTGACAAAGAAAAATGAACTTCAATATAACTTGCTTCTGGGTATAAGAAAACCTATTTCAGGTATTAAAGATACTAGTAATAAGAATACCTTATTTTATTCATTTCTTGAGACAGACTGGTCATCTAAAAAGATTAATTCAGGTTTTCTATGATTTATAGTAAAGAAGAAACAGGGGAAACTGCAAACAAAGGATAGACGTTGATTGGTTTACAATAAAAAAATTCAGCTTACTATTCTTAAAACAACTTAATTGCATATAGTATTTGCAATTTAGGCTATAAATGAAAGTCTCAAAGAATTTATCCCCTCCAATCAATATTTTTCTAAATGTCTACATTGTAATTTACCATTTTTCATGTAGGAGTACAAAATTATGTAAATTTGGAATTTAGCATAATTTGAACAGTAAAAAAATTACCAAAGCTTCGCCTTACATGGCTTTAATGTAATAATAACATTCCATGGAAAATTACAATAAAAATTAGAATATGTTATGAGCACTGGCAGTTGCCCATTTGATCTGAATACATTATTCATTTCCTCAGAGAAGCAACAGGAATTTATATATATATATATTCTCATAACTGGTATGAAAGAGAAGACAAGTTTGGTGAGTTATCACTTTGCTATCAACCCAAAAAGGAAACACAATAAAAACAGTATTAAAAATGGAAAAAAATTAAATCTCACACCTTCAGGAAAGTTTCTACAGCATAGTATTTGAAAACTTAAAGTGAATATGGTTCACAGTCTATATATATTTAAAAGCAATGTGTCAAACACTTGATACAAAAACATAAAATATGGTACCTGGCTTTTTTAACCATCACTATCAACAATCCTTTTAAATGTCATTCAGTTATATTTCTGTACATCAAATAGTAATTAGAGCAACATATGTGCTTGCCTCTCTGAGCCAGATTACTACAGTCGTAATTACCCGAACAGTTTACAACATTCTCCCAGGTAACTCTAATGGTACCTCTCCAGGGCTTATTCACATGGACACTGGATACCCTACTTCAGATCAAGAATGAAGACCAACATTCCAGAGCACTTTTTAGACCTTCAGGTGTCCTCCTACAGTCCAGAGCACACGGAAAAAAAAGGGTCTGCAAGTCATCTTACTTCAGTTATACAATCTACTCAACACAAAATGAGTTGCCCACTCAGTCTTTACCACAGAAAGTAGAAAGTTTTCATGTACTGCCTAGCCTCAGAGGGCACAGTGATTCCTAGAAAAAGGGGTGGGTTTACTGTCCCTGACAATAAATTCTCAGGCTATTTAATGTGGGGAACTCAGGAGCTGGGTCAGGGGTGGGGCAGCTCAGATGTGTAAGACAGTGCGACAGTTCAATTCAAAGTTTTACAAGGTGAAACTTGTAATGGCAGACAAAACTTTAGCAGTCTTTCATGCCTCCTGGAGCGCAGCAGACCTGCCCAGAGTCAGATTTACCGAGTCACGCCATCTGTCAGTATTTCTGATCTGTCCTAAAGTTGTCAGCAATCATGTGCTGTTTTATTGAGCAATCTAACAAGGATGCCATGGGGCTAGACTAATGTCTGTGACACACAGTGGGCCACTGAGTGACAGACTTAAACCATTTCAAACCTGAAACAAAGTCTGGATGGATTAGTCGGAGAAAAACAACCTATAAACAAACACAATTTCCTAGGTTTCTGCTAAAATTAGCCTCTGTATATAATGCTAACTTTTCTAACATATGTAGCTAGAACTTAAACCCTTCTATATACCAATTAAAATGAATTAGTGGATTAAAAACACAGGTACCTTGGTTTTAAGTAGACAGTTAATGAACATATGATTAGTATAGGACTAACACCCCAGCAAAAAAGAAAAAAGAAAAAGAAAAAAAAAAAGCACGGCGCAAACTCAGTTTACAATTACATATTTTTTCCTGGCCCAATCTCCCATACACAGGAACATAAGAAACTCATCAAAACATGTTGCTTTAGTTATATACACCATCTAATGCAAGTTACTGGGGATAAATATAGGAAATTTTATAGCATTAGTAAAGGAATTAAAAAACTAAATAATTCTTGTAAAATGTTCATATATGGTATATACAGATTGAATCACATGTGTCTAAGAATAAGACTGTTCCAATTTGTAACATCTGTCATGAACATAGTAAGTTACAGTACAAGATTCATTTTTTAAAAGAAAAAAATAGTACTAATTTAAACACGGAAAATGACTCTTATAAAATCTTAAAAAACCTATTTCAGAGAAAGATGCTGAAACAAACAAAAAAGGCTTCTCCATCATCACAGAATGTCCAAAGGATGCCTCTCTGCATGAGAAGGATTTGTATCTCTCTCTCTTTGGGTGTATATAGGGTACACCCTGGGCATTTATTCCACGTGAGAGTAAAGGCATAAGGTAACCAGGTCTCCTGTTTCTGCTGCACTTACCTAAAACACCGTCTTATTGCTCAGCTCACCTTTAAGTGCTTATTTGCCCTCGTTTAAAAATATTCCTTTTTACAGCTATCTATAGACGGGTGGCCCTCAGTGCTTATATTTTTTTGTACCTCTGTCATTTGAAAAGATTCCACTTTACTTTCAAACAAATTGCACAAAAGTTGTGACATGTTTCAGGTTTGCCTAGCCGTCAACATTCGCTGGGCTTGGAGAAAGTTAAGAATTTTAATAAGAAACCTTAAGCCTAAGTAACTAAAACCAAAAGTTTTGCTCAAGTAGATAGATTTTAAATCAGGATTTATAATCATACAACAAAAGTTCAAAAAATAAAACCCTACTGGGGAACTCTTTGGTTAGGTTATATAAGTACTGACAACTTCTAAGTTTAGGACTCAAAACAGTTCAATAAACTACCAATTAAGAGTAGGTCTGTTACTAATCTCCATAAAATGCTTTACAAGTTTGCAATTACTGCTTGGTAATTTTTAAACGTGCATGTACTCAAAAGGATAGTACAAACTTTCAACTTTCAGATAAATGAGTATGTCTGCTCCTCCCTTCCCACCCTTCCTCCCCTCTTCTCTCCCTCCCACCCACCCCCCACTTCCTAGATCTAATGGTTGCATGGTCCTACAGACCACAACGTGCACTACTACGCAGCCGCATTTAGTCACTGGCAGCTGACTCCCCGCAGCGCTTGGAGACCCCGGCGACTCGCCCTGTTAGGAGGCAGCCAGCGCCCTTTCTCCTTGCCCAGGAGGGCTGCCGTATCAACCCATGGAACCCAGGGCTTCTGGCAAGAGCCCAAGAAAGGGCGCCCCCGCAGGTAGGAGTTTCTCTTTCTACCTGTTCAAACCACAGGCGAAGACCTACTCTGTGTGCAAAACATCCAACCCTTCACTGTACCTGCACTAACTTTAACCCCCAGCTCATCAAAACTTTATTCATTTACAGTCACTGAATTGCCTCTGTGGGGCCTTAATTCCACTATCGAAATCTTCCGCCTAATCTTCTAAAACTCTACTTTTAAAGAGACTGTAATGATCTAAAAAAAAAAAAAAAAAAAAAAGCAACAACAACAAAAAAACACTCTCCCAGACAGTGTTATTAGTTCTAGCTCTTAAAACGCAAATATGTCAAAAGGGCTTGAGATTTCAAGGAATCTTCTACACACTGGACACCGCACATTTCGATCACCCCCAGGTACTTGGTACGTGGTGACCTCGTAGCCACGCTGCCCCACTAGATCCACACTGAAGTTCAATCTGAGAGAGGGGTGCTTTGAGGCCGGGAGTTAAGGAAGGGCGGGGTAGAAACTGGGTCTGAGGGCTCTTGGTTAGCCGGGTTCAGAGAAGACGAAGCCCAGAGGATTTGCGGTTGCCGATTCTGCAGTGGGGGCGGACAGGTCTGGCCCAGCTTCAGGAGGGGGCGGGAGGAACCAGGGAACGGAGGGCAGGAGGGGGGACCTATAATTATTTCCCCAGCAAGGAAGAGGGGAAGTGGGCGCTGGCGTCGCGAGGGTCTGGGGCGCTCACTCCCTGCAGAAGACGTACTCGGTGTAGCTGGTCCAGATCTTGTCCTCGCTCTGGTCGGTGCTGCTGGCAAAGGCGCAGGTGCCCGTGGAGCTGCACGCCACCATGTGGAAGCCCGACTCGGACAGCTTGTCAAAGGCCTGCTCCAGGAAGTTAAACTTGAGGTAATAGCGCGAGGTGTAGCGCTCCGGGGGCCTGTCGGGGTCCCGGCTCTCGTTCAGGGTGTCCCCGAACACTTCCTTGGCCAGGGACGTCTTGCCGCACACCGTGATGCGCGCCACCCGCCGGAACTTGGCGTCCGCCTGCGCGTCCCGCCCGATGGTGTAGGAGCCGCGGTAGCCGATGGTGATGTAGCCAGAGCGCCGGCTCCCGTCCAGCGACTGGGAAGGGGTGAGCAGCGGGCCCGCCGCGCCCCCTGACGGGCTGCGGCTCGCCAGCTCCAGCGTGGGCGACGGCGCCCCGGCCGAGGCACCCTCCTGCTGCTCGGGCTCCGCGTAGCCCAGCGGCAGCAGCTCGTCACCCAGCGAGCCCTCCTTGTGCACCCCGCGCCGAGAGTGCGGCGGCCCGGGGCCCGGCTGCTGGGGCGCCCCGAGGCGGCGCACGAGCTCGGGCAGCTCGAAGTACTCGGCCTCGCGCTGCAGCCGGCTGCGCTCGGGGAAGTAGTCGGGCAGCACGAGCTGCAGGTCCCGCAGGTAATCCAGGATGTAGCGGAAGAGGAAGCCGTCCCGGTCCAGAAAGAAGCGGCCTTTACTGTCCCGGGCCAGCTCCTGCGGCTGCTGTTGCGTGAACATGCGCCAGAGCAACGAGTCGGGCACCGACACCACCGTGCAGCGCCGGGTCACATACACCTGCCCCCCCACGTTCAGCTCCACGATGTCGGGGAAGAGCGCCGGCTCCGCGGAGGACGACGAGGAGCCGCTGCCACCCCCGCCACCGCCCCCGTTGGGTAATCCGCGCGTGCTGTCCGCCAGGGCCATGGCAGAGAGGTGGCCCGGCTGAGCCAGCGGCAGGGACCGGGTCCGCGCTCGGAAGCCGCAGCCGCCTTTCCGGGACGCTCGCTCAGCCCCGCAGCCCGGCCGCCGCCGAGAGCCGCGCGGTGGAG